CATGTGCTTTTTGACCATCTCTTGAACCTGTCTATTCATGTCTTTGGCCCATTTTTACTGGTTTGTTAGTCCTTTTCTTATCAATTTGTAGGCGTTTTTTATATGTTATGTATATAGGTCCTTTGTCAATATATGTACTGAAAATATTTTCTCCCATTCCACGGCTTGCCTTTTCTATTTTCTTTTTTTTTTTAACATTTTTTATTGATTTATAATCATTTTACAATGTTGTGTCAAATTTCAGTGTAGAGCACAATTTTTCAGTTATACATGAATGTATATATAATTCATTGTCACTTTTTTTCTCCATGAGCTACCATAAGATCTTGTATATATTTCCCTGTGCTATACAGTATAATCTTGTTTATCTAGTCTACATTTTGAAATCCCAGTCTGTCCCTTCCCACCCCCTGCCGCCTTTTCATTTTCTTAATGGTATCTTTTGATAAGAAGGATTACAATTCTGATGAAGATGAATTTATCAATTTTTATTTTCTGTTTAGTTCTTTTCTGTGTCCTTTCTAAGCAAATTTCACCTATCTCAAGATCATGAAGATATTTTATATTTTCTTGTTCTTCTAGAAGATGTATGGGTTTTGCTATTACGTTTCAGTCTATGATCCATCTTAAATGATTTTCTTTGTGTGGTGTGCAGCAGGGATCAAGGCTCATTTTTATCCATAAATATATCTAGTTGTTCCAGCATCATTTGTTGAAAAAACTTGACATTCCCCAATAAATTTTCTTGGCAACTTTGTCAAAAATCAATTGAATATAAATGTGTGGGCTCTCTATTCTGTTCTGTTGATCTATTCATCTGTCCTTTTGCCAATACTCGACTGACTCAATTTGATCTATTCATCTGTCCTTCTGTCAATACTCCACTGACTCAATTGCTGTAGCTTTGTAGTAACTTGAAATCAAGTATATATCCTCAAACTTTTTGGGGGCTAATTTAGATCCTTTTCATTTCCACATAAATTCCAAAAATAATCTGTCAGTTTCTACACAAACAAAAAAGCCTGTTGGGATTTTTAATGAGATTTCAATGAATATATAGATCAATTTGGGAAGAACTATCATCTTGATAATATTGATTCTTCCAACTTATAAACATGGTATATCTCTTCATTTTATGTAAATCTGTGTTAATTTCTCACAACACTGTTTGTTGAACAACAGTGTTTGTGCATAGCCTGGGGCAAGTACACAGACCTATACTTGTGGATAGCCTGCTAGATTCTCAGGAATATGAAAAAGCTTTACAAAGTCCACTATGGACATCTCATTTCCTAGCTTTGTCCTATAAGCTTTTTGGTTATTGTTTGCTCCAATCATTATTCATTGTCAAGGCAGCTGTGATGTTAAGCAGTCACCTCTGATTGTTTTTGACAAACACCCCTGGAGAAAAGACTATTTGCAGTGGGTGATCTCTAAGGTAGGGCAAATAAAGACAACTTTGCAAATGACCAAGAAATAATCTTGACTGCAAGAAAGGACCATGGGCATAGACCCTGGAGATAGAGCTGGAATGAGGTGAGAGCATATTTATATATGACTTACATTCACCAAACAAAACAAAACAAAAAAAGACTAACATGGTGTGGGGGTAGGGTATAGCTCAGTGGTAGAGTGCATGCTTAGCATACATGAAGTCCCACATTCAATCCCCAGTACCTCTGTTTAAAAATAACTAACTGACTAACTAACTAAAAGACATTCACAATGAGAAGCTAATATGGGTTTTAATTAAGCTGTCAAATATTGGGCAACGTTTTTTTCCTGTGTCATTTCTAGGTTTGTGACAAATAATAGCACTTAACTGTAAATCAATTTGAGTAATTATTTGACAAATTAAGAGGCTTAGCCATCCTATTTCCATTTGGTAATATGTCATCTCTGTAGGATGGCCTTCTTCCAACACTCTTATTAGAATTATTTTCCTCTCTGGATTTTTTTCATAGCACTTATTAAAACACAGATTTATATATTTCTGTACTTGCCTGCTTAACTTTTTCAGTGAAATATAAGATTTAGATAAGCAGGGTCCTTCTTCTTGTTCACTGCTATATCTTCAGAGATTAGCATTGTGCCTGGCACACAAATAATTCTGGTATGGAAAAATGACTCTACAATTACAACCAAACACTCATTTCAATTGAGGAAATAAAATCCAAGCTAATTTTTCCCATGCAGACCCTTAAATAGTCAAAAAAAGAG